CAATCAGCTCTGATTCTTCGACAGTTGCTCTGCAAAAATAATCTATGGTTCCAGCAGTCACATTTCGAACGCGCACACCATTTTACAGTTTACACCATTTGTTTGCAAAAAATTACATTCTGCTATAATAGTTTTTCGATTTGAACGTATGTACTGAGCAACTTACTGCACTAAGCAATAAATTCACATTATGCTACCAAATTTTGGAAAGGAAAATGAAATAGCTATTACTTGCCAACCCATTGGCCGAAGACTTTGGCGACGGCCAAGAATTACCTGTAGTAAATGTATGGAACGACTCTGCTCTAAACTCGGGTTATCTGCTGCCGAAGCTCAAACAATGGCACAAGACCAGGAACGCAGGAGATATTGCCTGACACGTCTGCCTCTGCGATATAAATAAGTAAGCGGTCATCACAACTGAATGACTCCCAAATAAGCATGATATATAAATGTACAACACAATAAACTTTTAATGTTTCCCGCGGAATTGTTCAGCATATAATTTTATTGCAGCAATTACCGACTTTTTGAGTCCATATTTCGGCTCGCTGTCACTTTACCTTCAGAACGAACCAAATACGGCTCGAAACGTCAGTAATAATTTATGTAATAAAGATGAACTTACTTTATCGCATTTAAGAACATATTCAATTTTTAAGTTGACATTACAAGATATAACATACTACCATTTCAGACGATAAATCTGGCATACTGCTGTTTTAGCTATGTTAGTTTCAGATGGCGATGACAAAACAACTAGTTGTTAAGAAAATTTTTTATAACACTATTTAAATTTATATAGACATGTATAGAGATGTAACATGGTTAGTGTATAATCGGTGGCAGATGCAAACGTAAAACAACGATGGCAATGTTTTACTTACTAGTCGACGAGTATCTCGACCAACGCCGGTAACACAATTAGAAATAAGGAGAAAAAAGTGAAGTCAGCGTAACAGCGCGACTTCACTATTAAATATTTGGAGACTGATTGCCGTTCAGTCAGCGACGTCAATTTTACCTAGCCGATTATTGACTGGTCCAAATTTTTACTTATATCAAATAGTTAAGAACACTTATTGCGCAGTCGCGTTTCCGTGCCCAGCTCCCTTATTATTAACCATATCTTCGTTCTGGTACTGCAGGGTAACTGTAAAAAAACACGGAACGTCAGGCTTCGAATCAATCTTTCCCTTTATTTACGTATATGATCTTTTGCTCGTTTATATACCTATATATTCAAATAAAATGCGTATCTAGCCACGACCTAAATATATCGCTACCAGATATCCTGCGTACAGCAGCACAATTAAATATGGTCAAATATTATATTGCATCAAGGAGAAATGAAGACGATAAAAAGGGTCGATAACATAAAAGCACCGTAATGCATTTGCTGTTATAATTGTGAAACGGATCATGACGATCATGCTGTAGTCCGAAGACCGCTAGTTCTTGTTTGTAACCCGGGTACGACTGCAACGGTAAT